TTTTCCAATTTTGACAAACATGTCCTAGTTGTCATTCATAGACGTGATACCAGTGTACACCCTTACAGACGTGGCACCAGTGTACACCCTCACAGACATGGTACCAGTCTACACCCTCACAGATGTGGTACCAGTGTACACACCCTCACAGACATGGTAACCTCTGTACACCCTCATAGACGTGGTACCAGTGTACACCCTCACAGATGTGGTACCAGTGTACACACCCTCACAGACATGGTACCTCTGTACACCCTCACAGACATGGTACCTCTGTACACCCTCATAGACATGGTACCAATGTACACCCTCACAGATACGGTACCAGTGTACACCCTCACAGATGTGGTACCAGTCTACACCCTCACAGACGTGGTACCAGTGTACACCCTCACAGATGTGGTACCAGTGTACACCCTCACAGATGTGATACCAGTCTACACCCTCACAGATGTGGTACCAGTGTACACTCTCACAGATGAGGTACAGTGTACACCTTCACAGACATGGTACCAGTGTACACCCTCACAGACGTGGTATCAGTGTACACTTTCACAGACATGATACCACTGTATACCCTCACAGATGTGGTACCAGTGGACACCCTTGCAGACGTGGTACCACTGTACACCCTCACAGATGTGGTACCAGTGTACACACAGACGTGGTGCCAGTGTGCACTCTCATAGACGTGGTACCACTGTACACCCTCACATACATGGTACCAGTGTACACCCTCACATACATGGTACCAGTGTACACCCTCACATACATGGTACCAGTGTACACCCTCACATACATGGTACCAGTGTACACCCTCATATACATGGTACCAGTGTACACCCTCATATACATGGTACCAGTGTACACCCTCACAGATGTGGTACCAGTGGACACCCTCACAGACATGGTGCCAGTGGACACCCTCACAGACATGGTACCACTATATACCCTCACAGATGTGGTACCACTGTACGCCCTCACATACATGGTACCAGTATACACCCTCACAGACGTGGTACCAGTGTACACCCTCACATATGTGGTATCACTGTACACCCTCACAGATGTGGTACCACTGTACGCCCTCACATACATGGTACCAGTGGACACCTTCACAGACATGGTACCAGTGGACACCCTCACAGATGTGGTACCAGTGTACACCCTCACAGACGTGGTGCCAGTGTACACCCTCACATATGTGGTACCAGTGGACACCCTCACAGACATGGTGCCAGTGTACACCCTCACAGACATGGTGCCACTGTACACCCTCACATATGTGGTACCAGTGGACACCCTCAAAAACCTGGTACCAGTGTACACCCTCACAGACGTGGTGCCAGTGTGCACCCTCATACACATGGTACCACTGTACACCCTCACAGAGGTGGTATCACTGTACACCCTCACATACATGGTACCGGTGTACACCCTCACAGACATGGTACCAGTGTACACCCTCACAGAGGTGGTATCACTGTACACCCTCACATACATGGTACCGGTGTACACCCTCACAGACATGGTACCAGTGTACACCCTCACAGAGGTGGTATCACTGTACACCCTCACATACATGGTACCGGTGTACACCCTCACAGACATGGTACCAGTGTACACCCTCACAGAGGTGGTATCACTGTACACCCTCACATACATGGTACCGGTGTACACCCTC